CCAGTCTTGAAACACTCATTAAATCACTCATCTATGTCATGCACATGTATGCTATGTCCTACTTTTGTGTACCGAAGAAACTTTGTCGCAATATCAATCGTATGATTGCGCGACTTTGATGGGGGAAGCAGGGCACTAAACATAATTTACCTTGGGTCTCCTGGCGCAACTTTTGTAGTCCCAAAACAGAAGACACACTAGGCTTTTGAGATTTAAGATCTTTTAGCAATCTGTTTTGGCCAAGCAGTGTTGGCATCTCTTTCTGGAGCTAAACTCTCTAGTTGATTGGGTTCTCAAGGGTTTCTACTTTCATAATATGTTCTTCCATTCAGCGATGATATACTCCAACTCCTTATCTGCCTAACAATCCTTGCTTCACGTTTCAGATATGCTCCAACAAGGCTTACCCTGGGAAATTAGTTCCAGAACCACAATCGACGTTGTCATTGATCCATGCATTACTACCCTCCCATATTTCCGTACCAACCACCTCCCTACATCTCCAGTGTCCTTAAAGTTTGTTTTGTATTTTATATCACCCTCGACTTCCTCGTGATGCCTATGTGACTTCCATTTTAGCAATTGCTTTGCAACGTACCCCTTGTGTTGACCGATACATCTTCCATTTTAAATATCTGGGTCTTTTCTTGGTTAAATCCACTTATTGCCTCATCCTAGCCACCATCATGCCTTGGCATGTAATAAGGGGTCTATGCATGCCACAACTTCTCCCTTCAATTGTAAGGATGGAAATGGATAATATCAGGGGCGGATAATGCATATGCATTACCCTACCCATAATAGTTTGAGTTTTATCCATACAGATACCCATACAAGTATCAAGTAAAATAACAAACCATACCCATACCCGATAAGGTTCCAGATATCCACGGTTATCCATGAATAATAATTTATGTTTATAACCTCAACCAACATGTTGATAATTACATTATATTGACATTACACAAGTGAAAAAGTATAACAATAAGTTACTAGAATGAAGAAAATTAGTTTAAAAAAACATAATTTCATGAAAATATAATCTATGTATAATAAACATCTGATTTGTTGAGAAACATACTGATAATAGTTAAATAAATTACATATCCATGTGTACAATCGGGCGGGTTCATACTGAATACTGAGAAAACTGACTCCATCAATTACCCATAATATTCGGATACGACTTTTAACCATACATATTAAAAATCGTTAGGGTTCGGTACCCAGACCAGATAGGTCGAATTTGGATGGGCATGCACGAGTATGATTATTTTTGCCATTCCTACATGACCCATCCCTCTGGCCTAAGATATGGGTCCTCTCTCTAGCACCAAATCTGAAGTTTTTCTTTGGCGTTTCTTGCTACGGATCCTACTGGTGCGTGAAGGTCTCCAACTATATACATGGGCTCAATGTGGAAGACACATTTCCAATTTATGGTGTTAAGGAAGGGGAATCACTCGAGCACCTTTTCATTTGTTGTTGTTTCATTTCGTCATCTTCTCGACCTTTAGCTGCCATATGGGCCTCCTCCTACTTTCACATTTCTATGCTTTGGCATCATCTGCTCCTCCACTCGAATTATGATACTTTCACCAATTGGGTCCTCCTTTGCTGGCGAATCTAAGGGTCATAACAATATCGTCTTCCTCCCCACACAGAATACACACTTGTTCTCCCTCGTAATTCCTCACCCACCGTGGTTATCACTTCATCGCTACGACTCAAGTTGAGCCATGCCCTCCTCTCTTACTTCTACCTTATCATCATCGTAATTCCCATTAAGTATGTTGAGGGTTTCACATTCCTGTTAATGGTTCTACGAGGGCTCCTACTAGTTGGGTTGAGGGTATCGTCACCTATTATGACTTCGTGTTGACATTTATGTACATTCATTTTTACTAGTATTATTGTGTGCACTACTCTATTGGAACTACTGCCTTTCATGAAGCTTCATATCTCATTCAGAGGTGGTAGTGACACAATCGACCCATCCACCTTATTGATGATGCTGAAACAATACTGGACGAGTTGACACGAGTTCTACTCATAATACTCGAGGAGGGACTATTTTGTGTGAAGTTCACTCTTTACTCATGGAGTTGCCCATAATACACTTTGTGTTCACACCTCGAGAAATGAATCAGCATGCCCATTCAATGGCATGACATGTCTTTTGATATCATGGTCCTACTGATGATGTTTATAACTTCACCTATCTAGTCTATGTATAAATCTGTATGAGTGTTGTCATTGTTGTGGCATTGCTCGCTCTTCTCTGGGTTATCCCTAAAAATATCTATGACTTATTCCTAAAAATATCTATGACGACAAAAATATCATAAACATTGCAATTACATCTTCTAAAAGATAATTCCACTTCAAGTCACCTAATACAAACAAATTAAATATAAAAGGTTCTTTTCCTCCTCAAAAGACATGTCAATAAACTAATTATAAACTAAATAACATGATTCTTTTTCAAATTATAAATGACTCTTTTTTTAAGTTTGATTGGGCATGCACAAATCGTTATAATAAATTGACATATGACGAACTCATTATTGTTACATTTAACCAAAATACAAAATTTAGGTGTGGCAAAATATATAATGACACCATATAACAAAAATAAAAAATATAGGGATGACAAAAGATATAAAGCCACTAGTTTATCACCTGTAGATCTCACAATAATATACTAAAACTTATTTATAATGTGACAACAATAAAATCTTATTATGATAAAATATGTGTTTATTTTGACAAATGTATTTGTCACCATGGGTTCTTTTGGATGGAGGATTGTTGCAAGATTTGAAAGCAATCTCACACAATGTGGAATTTGAATCAAATAACACGTTTGGAAAGATCTGTACAAATTAGAGAATACTGTTCCCATTAGAGATTTTAAAAACCCACATGTGTGTGATTATGAAATAGCTGATGACCATCACCTATTTTGAAATCTCTCGTTCTTAATTTTATTCTTTCAAAACTTACCTTCTTTATTCTTGCTCCACCAATGACTCTTCTCCATTCTTCCTCCACCAATGATCATCAAACTCGATTTTCAAATTCAGCGGTCATTGATTCCGCTTCTCCTTCTTCAAATGGAATCAAGAACCCAACTCACTTGCTTTCTGCTAACAACCATGAATAATCACCTTCTCTCTTCCGCTATATTCTTGTGAAGCTACTACTCTTCAGTGGAGAGATTCATCGACGAACGACAACTGTGAAATCGTGAACAAGAGAAGGGGAGATGAAGGCCAGATTTAGGAGATTCGTTGACCAAACCACATCCATTCATCTTTGTTTGTGGGAGTCGACAATACGAGGCAAATGTCGATGTTGGCGGTGTCGATTCTAGTCAACGGCGATAGTTTTGGTGTTCAAATTGAAGAAGATGCAGTACTTTGCTCGGTTCTTCCCGTTTCTAGGTTCTGGGTTTTCTTTGGTTGTATTCCATTTTCCCTTCTACTAAATAGGGGTGTTCAAACGATTTGGTTACCGTGGTAACCGTTTTGACCGATACTATTTGGATAATTTGGTATGGTTAATTTGGATAATTGGTTTGGTTTGGTTAAAGTTTTTAGCTTGTTTGGTTTAGGTGGTTTGGTTTGGTTTCAAACACTCCTAACCAGTCAAACCAAATTAACCAATTAATTAATAGTCATGTATCTAACATATATTATATACACATACTTAATACTTTGCATAACCACTCAAGAGTTAACGTTCATCCCTTTTAGACTCATAAAATATAAAGCTCAATATTGCTCATATAGTGTATATTTGTATATGTAAAGTGTAGACCACAACATATGGACGCCTAATTTAGGTAAATTTCATACATTATGATCGATGAAAACTTGAAAGGAAGGTCATTTCCAGCCTATGATAATTGCTAAGAGACTAAGTCAATTTACACAAACACAACAATTCATTAACCCATACCATTGTCATACATTTTTGTTAGGTGAATACTTCTATACTAAATACTAAAGGTTGCAAATGCAGGAAAGGAGATCCAATTGAGTTCTGATTGGGAATCGATGTCAAAGACTAGGACTGCAAATGAGCCAAGATGCTCGTGAGCAACTCGGTGTTCGAATAGAAAACATTCGTTCGACACTCGGCTCGTTATTTAACAAGCCGACTCGTGAGCCGACTAGTTAATTAGTAAACGAGCAATTCTTGAGCTAGACCATGCTATGCTTGATAAGCTCGTGAGCTAGCTTGACTCGATGGCTTGTTGATCTAAGCTCGCGAGCTAGCTTGTTTAGAGCTTGTGGAAGGATTAATTACTGATCTTCTAAACATGAATATTATCTTGTTAATAAGAATGTGTATGGACGTTAACTGTTATTTTTAGTTTCTAGTGTTCTTTTTATCATTTAAGTTCTTATGTTCACATATTTTTGTTGCAAAAATAATTTCAAATCGAGCTCATCTTGATCCAACCTTATACTCAGCTTGACATGCTATGTTGATAAGCATTTACCGAGCTCTACTAAGTCGAGCTCGAGCTAGATTGTTTTTATTCAAGCTGAGCACGAGTTCAAACTGGATTATCGAAATTTGAGTTTGAGCCGAGCTGAAAATTTTCTTAAGGAGCCGAGCTCAAGCTAAGAAAAAACTCGACTCGACTCGTTTGCATCCCTAAAAAAGACTAACAAAACCCAGACAAGTGCCGGAGTTTTGCGAGGTCTCCGAAGATAGGCAAGGTTTTAGCTATCGGTTTCTAGGTTATGGTCGTCGTTACTGTTGCCTACATTTCACCCACGCAGGCTACGACTCCACTTCATCTACTTCCTCATCTCCGTCACCATCAATCACCAACTTATATACGAAGATTCAAGTCGTTGTTGGTTGAAGAAGAAGAAGACAATTTATGGGTTTCTTCATCCATGAACATATTGTTGTTGTTAAAGTTAAAAAAGCATTTGAGGAACACATGGGGGCAAAACCGTATTTCTGCTTACTCTATTAAAATCTCTCGTTAATTTCCAAACAAGTCAATTGAAACAAATCTTGCGTATACATTTCCTGGGATTGTAAAGGAGTGTTTTGAAGCCAAATCTCTCACTAATCTCTCAAATTAAAAACCCTCATCCAAACCACTCCACATGAAATTTAATTTGACAATAGACTAGTTGTCACATTATTCATATACAAGTGATTGCCAATATATGAGACAAAATTTATGTGTAATAATGGACGAGAATGTTAGGAAGCCTGCCACAAAGTCTTGGTACGTATAATTAAACTACTCGCCAATCAACATTAATTATTAAATCACTAATAATTAAGGAGGAACCACCATGTAGCTCCGGCGCGGGACCCGCTGGAACGTCGCACGTACCAAGTCAACATAGAGCGGGAACTGGGCGACGGCAAAGAAGCTGACCGGCAGACACGTCAGCGCATACACCGGATACGCCGCGTACTTGAGCTCGTCCCTGAGCACGAAGAAATGCCCGGCGCAGAAACTCACCAGCACGGCGGCGATGGAGACGAAGAGCGACGACAGCCCGATGAGCAGCTTTCTGGGCAGGTCCCTCCCGAAGTCCTTCTCCTGGAAGCGCGACGTCAGGATGGACAGGAACATGACGAGGGAGGTGACCGAGAAGCAGAGCGCCACCAGCGACGAGATCGCGAAGATGTGGAACGCCGGCTGCCCTTCCAGCGTCGGCTTCCCGTCCGGCTCCACACCTCCCGGGACGGTGGACGACGTGGCGAACGCCACGGTGGCGATGAGCGCGGCCACCACCGAGCAGGACTCCGACGTGCTGATCAGCCACTCTCCGCCGCTCTTCACCAGGTCGGCGTGCTCCTCCGAGAAGATGTCCCGTGGAGTTTTCCCTTCCTTGTTGTGTCGGATGAAGAAGTTGTAGGGCATCGAGTTCTTCACAAACTAAGTGCATGCAAATAATAACATAAAATCGTTATTATTTATTTATAATCTAAATCTAAATCTAAATCTAAAGAATATATAATAGAGTTTCTCAATAAATACATCTCCATTTCAAATTTTCTGCTCATTTATGCATCCACATCAGCACCCCTTAACTGATCATAAAACTCACGGAAATAACTGGCCGCCAATATCTCTAGTGGTCCAATTTTTGGTGGACTTTAATTGTAGGAAGAAAAGCCCAACTCTTTGTTCTTTTTTTACTTCTCAAATTTATCTCTTAAAATTGCCACCTAAAAACCCTCCCATCCATCATACATTTTGCGGTTACTTGGCCGTTTCTTTTTTTCCCCGATCAAATATTTTGGGAGTTTCTTAGAGGTGAGAGAGAAATTGTGAAATACAAATAAGCAATTGTTCTTTATATAATTAGTTAGCAGTATATATATCTATCACTAATATTAATTGATTGAAAGATAAATATGATAAATTTTAGAGGCATTTATAAACATGTGCATATTATAGGCTTAGCCTCTACTCAAAATTCATCAATTAAAACTTGAATGTATGAGTTTAAACTACATATTGTTTAAATCAAAGGATAAAAATCCTTAATTGAATGTCTATTGTTTAAGAGACAAATATGTTCTGTTCTTTCAAAATGAGTTGGAGAAACATATATAACTTGAAATTTAAAATATTAGTTTAATCATAATTATGAAATACTTGATAATCTATGAGATTCACCCGGCCAACTGGCCGGGAAGAAAGCTAGTATATAATAAACATTTTTTCATTTTATGCTTCATTATTTCAAATTTATTGAATTCTTATGAATCCACGTCAACACTACTTGCAATAAAAAAAAAATTCTTTTATTATTTCTTTCCTGCCAATCAGTTTGGACGTGCCACCTATCATACTCTCTTTTTTTTCCTCACTACTATTTTAATTGACTCGTAATTCAAATCCGAATTTAAATATTTTTTTCACAACAAATTAGATTTTATGTGATTACACAATAATATTCATTTTGATATATATTGAAAAAAATAAAAATGTTATAATCACATATTCACGGTTATCATTCAATTCTGTATCACTATAAACGACTCACTAATATCACAAACCATCCATAACTCAGGGGACATGCATGCATGTTCCTATTCTACTAGCGAAACTATTATCAATACCGTTCCATTTTGTGAGGCATGTCAAAAATTAAAGTCGGAGAAAAATCAAATTATCTAATAAATTTTTTTTGGATTCCGGCCACTTTCCGGCTCAAAGCTAGTTAATTAGATAGTAATGATCATTGGTGACTGACTGACCTCATACCACTTGATTTCCCACTGCATCTGGAGGGCGGCGCCAGGGATCCGCCAGGGCTTGTGGTGGCCGAGGGCGGCGGCGAGGTGCAGCGCGCTGTTCCCGCGGTTGTCCACCTTGCGGAAAACGCTCTCTCTGATCACCCCTCTCTTCAGCAGCCGCTCGTAAACGCGGGACTGCCTGTTCTCCACCGCCAGCAGCACGATGTTCTTCTTCCCGGCGTTCATGTCGTTTATGGCCACCGGGTACAGGTCCAGAATCTTCTCCACGATCTCCGTGATCCCGTTCTTCGCCGCTATTAGCATCGGCGTCTCTGTGTGTTCCCGGCCGGCCGACATGCATTGCATGCATGCACCGTAAGTCGAGGAATATATGATATGGTGAATAAATATATGTAATTAAATTTGATGGCACGTGCGTGCGATACGTACCGATGGTGTCGAGGTGTTTGGGCTTGTTGATGATGTCGTGGTCGTCGGCGGCGGTGAGCAGGTCGCTGAACTCGAGAGGTGTGCCGATGGGGTGGGGGCTCCTGCCGTTGTACTCATAAACGTACGTCTCCGCATCTTTGAGAAGCTCGTTCATTATCTGGACCGACCACACGTGCTTCTCCTTCTTCACGCGTATCTTCCTCATTTCGGTCGATCCTACGTACCAAACAAAATACTTGTTTATGGGTACGTGCAGAATAAATAATATTGACATTTGAAGGCAAAGCTTGACAATGGATGGGAGCCGAGCGGTACGCACCATATCCAAGGATGACAAAGAGGGACTTGAAGGCCAGCTTCACGAACTCAAAGCACGTGTCGTAATTGGAAGGAAGTAGTTGTTGACTCCCGGCTTCGAGTTGTAAATTGTAATAAGATTGGTATAAAACGTTAGGCTGGGCTATTAAAATTTTCTGTATATATAAAATGTTTACCTGACTGTTTTGATGGAGCTCTCTGGTTCTCTGCATCCTCTGACGGAGCATTTGACTGTTTGAATCGACTCTTCACTAACATGGGGGGAAAAAACAAAAGCATGTTGTAATTAAATTCATCGGTGAAACAATTAACATATATGCAGATTAAAAATAGGCAAAATAGTAGTCACATATTTTGAAATATAAATTCGTCATTTGACCTTATAATTTTCACAGCTGGTAGTATGTTACCCACCTATGTCAAGTGGTAATGCGAGGAAGGAAACACAGGTTTCGTAGTTAGGAGGGACGTAGGACGACGCTGGTGCGGCACCTTGGTCGGCATATGTGCGTGGCATTTCTGGCTGAAGCAAATCCACAAATGTACCTACATGCATTAACATATAAAAAAGAAAGATGAACTCGCTAATAGAAAACTGCTTGGAGATTTTGTGTCCAATTAAGATTGGAGTAAGAATTTTTCGTGCAGGACTACTGGACTAGAGGTGGCAATTCTCAATTCAATCCACCAATCCATTAAAAATATCCACCTACTCCAATCCATTTGATCCAAATCCAATTGGATTGGTGGATTCATGGATTGACTCATGGATCCAAATGATAAATTACGGTTTGGTACCTATACTTTTATATTTTACATTTTGGTACCCAATATTTAATTTTTATACGAAAAATATCATTAGAAAATTACATTTTGGTACCTAAAATTTTTCATTATGACACTTTAGTATCTAAACTTTTCACATTTTACATATTGGTTCTTGGTTGAGAATGTCATTTGGATTCATGGATAATCCACCAATCCATCAATCCATTGGATCCAATTCATGAATCCACCAATCCATTAGATCTAATTCATTTGATCCATGAATCCACCGATCCAGTCCATCGATCCATGGATCAATCCATTTGCCAACCTGTGCAAGACAATAAAGAAGAGGCAAGAAAGGGCCGGGAACTTACAGTAATAAATAAGCTGGTGATATCCGCCAACGTGGCTGCCACTTCTAAACGCGCCAGGTTTGCTGGCCAGCAGGTGCAGAGGGGTTTTCCCTTGCGTGTTCACAGCGTTCACCAGTTCCTTGTACAAAACTATTATCTGATACGCCAACTCTGCATTCGCATCCACTACTTAATATCTTCAGCTAATTAAAACACAAACCAAAATGAAACAGAGACATTAATGGTTCTCAGCTGCCTGTCCAGCTCACCGAAGTATTCCCCGGCGATGGCGACGTGGAGGATGGTCTCGCCGTCCTTCCCTCGATAATGCCTCCGACAATCCTCGGCCCCGCAGATCTGGTGCATGCGGAGGAACGCTTCCTTCATGCCGTGGACCGCGGCCAGGAACAGCGGCGTCTCGCTCTCGTCGTTCCGCACCCCGACCAGCGCCTTGTCCCTCCCCGCGATGCTGACGCACATCCTGGCGTTCCCCAGCGCCGCCGCGATGTGGAGCGGGGTGTTCCCGTGGTCGTTCCTCACCCTCAGTGCCGCCCCTGCCGCCGCCTCCTCGCCGCCGGCGCCGCTCTTCCCGTACATGATCTCCACCAGCTGCTCCACGTAGCGCTCCTGCCCGTCCGACACGGCGATGTGCAGCGCCGTGTCGAGCGGCTTCGTGATCTGGGCCGCGTACGCCGACGGCTGCGTCCTGTAGGTGTGGATCACGCGCCGCCAGTCCCCCTTCATCGCCGACTGAAACAGCTCCCTCCTGATCGCGTCCAGCTGGTCCTCGTGGAACCCGCCGCACCCGTCTGCTAATGGACTCCCCATTCTCGGCTCTCTTTCTAATTCGTTCTGCTGGTGTGTGTGTATTTATAGTCATGAGATCTTGCTAGTGATTGAAGCAATTAAGTGCAGAGAGTGTACAAGCAAAGATTAGTTAGTGAAATATTCTTTATGTAAGATTGCAGCTAGAATATCTCAGAGCATAGTACTAAAACAATAGTCTGAAAATTGTATTGAAAGGAGTGTCATATAAGTTTGGCATAAAGTTTGGGTGGGGAGAGATTGCGCTTTGGGTAATTAAGTTGTTTGATTCACACAATAATAACATTGTCGTCCCCGAATTTGCAGCTTTATTTAACTTTTCCAAAGTGAAATCCCAAGAGTTGGGCTTACGGAAGGGACAGAGCATGTAACATGCATGTAATTGACTTAATTTCTATTATTATATTATGATTTTTCACAACTAGAGATTCATGTACAAGGAGTTTTAACAAAGTATGCTTGCATGAAATGAAACAGTTCACGGGTGCCGTCACAGTTTGCAGAGGGGCTCAAGTAAAATTAATGGTAAATATCTAAAAATGGTCAAATCTTTTAAATTTTAGATAGAAATAGGCAAAATTATATGAAATCTATTAGGGATGGCAACCTTGAGAAGTTTGTCCGGTACGCCACCCGAAAGCTGCACAGATGGTGAGCATTTTAGTAGTCTGTTGTGGGTAAAGGACAGATTCGGGCAATGCCCAAAATTAGTGAGTAACGAGCAACAGGTGACGATGGACCTTGTGGTATCCGTCCGTCCCCCAAAATGACGTCGTTTTGGACCCTCACTATATAAATTAAATGAAGCTTCGGAAAACTCTAATCCTCATTTCCTCTTGTTCGTGACACCCGATTTCTCCTATTCCCTCTCTCCACTTTCTCTCTACTTTCTCTCATTCACATCCCGCAAGCATTCATTTTGCTCAAAATTTACGTCGATTCCCCACGAAATCTTCTCCATCCAGGCTGTTTGTACATCGATAATTGCCATTTGGCAATCATATTCCTGCAATTGGTCAATTGGAGGTTAGTTTAGCTGACAATTTGGTCAGGGAACAACATGCATTATTCTAAAATGCCCGTTGTGATCTTCGATTTGCTGATATTGGGGGAAATCGGCTTGATATCACACACCAATATTAGTTCTTTCTCCCTTTTCCTTTCGTATTCAATTGCACCTTCTTCCTTCTCATATATATTAACCCTTCCTTCTTCACTAGTCAGTCTTAGTTCTTCCATTCATCATTACCTTCACTCTGCTCAGAGCACAGTCAAGGTAATCACTATTGAAACTTCATTTTTTTAGTTTATTGCTGATCTTTATCAATCAATGAATGCTAATTTTTTTTTTTTTTTTTTTTTTTTTTACTTTGTTGGAGTTCGTCAAGTTCGCAATAGCTCACCATCTGTAGTCTGGTCAACAGATCCTCCCTCTCCAGATTACAGGTTAGGCATAGACTTACTTCAAATCAACTATACATATTGTAATTTGTATGTGTTTGGACTTAGGGTCATGGAATAGGGACTGTGTAGCTTGCATGTGTCCTCTGTCTGAGTCGTGATGGTTGATTGATTGTGGTTTTGTTTATGTATATGGATGGTGCAATCGCATATGATGCTTTCCATGTGAATGATCCTCCCAAGGCTAGTAAACAAAACAATGGTAATAACAATACTAATGGTAATGGTACTGATAATAATGTCTAGGCAAATAGAAATGAAAATGTTGAAGTCGTTCTTGAGGAAGATCGTAAATTGAATTCTGATGTCTGGCCACATTTTGTAAGTGTGAAGTTTAACGGGGGAATTAAAGCTAAGTGTAAGTACTATCGTAAATGACTTTATGGTGATACTAGTAATGGAACCTCCCACCTGAGGAACCATTATAAAAATTGTACCCAAAGAAAGATACATGATGATACACAGAAAGTTCTTGATCCTGGTTATACACCCACTGGAAAACCCCTACTATCTGCTACTCAGTTCAATTCTTATGTGTCTAGGAAGGAGTTGTGTTCTATAATTATGGTGCATGAGTATCCCCTTAGCATTGGTAAACACTTGGGGTTCAAACGTTTATGTTGTTCTTTGCAACCTCAGTTCACTGTGCCTTGTAGAAATACAATGAAGGACATAATGAGATTATATGTGGTTGAAATGGCAAAGTTTTGGAAGGTTCTAGATGGTAATATTAGTAGAGTTACAATTACCACTGATATGTGGACTGCAACCAACTAAAAGAGGAGTTATATGGCAATGACTGGTCATTTTATTGACAATTCTTGGAAGCTTAAAAGCATCATGTTGAGCTTTGGTTATGTCCCTACCCATTATATCAGTGAGAGGCTGAGAGATAGGTTGTTCAAGTGTCTTATTGATTGGAATATTGATAGCAAGTTGTCCTCAATTACCTTGGATAACTATACCACCAACGATGTCATGATTACCCATATAAAAACCAAACTTGTTATGGATGATTTGTTGTTGAATTGTATGCTGGTTCAAATGAGATGTTATTTGTCCACTCAATTAGGGCAGCAAATGAGTCAAGTTGAGTAGGAATGAGAAAAATATTCGCAATCGTATATATCCGTCTGAATCTAACTTAATCAGGCAGGGTAAAATGAATGTAACTTAATCATGTAGGGTAAAATATGAATTCGAAAGGTTTTTAGTGGGTACGAGTAAAACTCGAACCTAATTATTGCAGGTAATGGGTGGACATGGTTTTCTTGCTATCCAACCCGAACCCGCTCGATTATACACATGCATATGTATTTTGTCTAGGAAAGATCATTATTTTCTAATATTTTTATGAAATTGTGTTGTTTTTAATTAATTCTTCATTCTAGTGATTTGTGTTTGGGCTCGGGCGAGAGACGAGCCTAGTTTAGACGTAGCTTGGGCTCGACCGTTATTAAACGAGTCAAGTTAAAGCTCCATTTAGAGCAGGACACTAGAGTGTGTATCATTGTCATATCATGATCTGACATTGATATGATATTATCAATTTATTTTGTCAAACATAATAACTCATACCAACATCATATCACTTTCACACCGGCATTGCATCATTAAGATATCAATATCATATATACCACTATGATGGAAAAAATCCCAAAATACACATGTTTTAAAAAAAAATCTCAAAATACACACGTTATGAAAAAAATTTCCAATCTACGCATGTTTGGGCATTCACCGCGGTAGAGAAAGGCGGTGATTGCATCACCGCAGGAGACGAGGACGGTGATTAGGCGGTGATTGCATCACCGTTGTAGAGGAAAGCGGTGATTGCATCACCGCTGTAGAGAAATACGGTGAATGCTTTACCGCATTACACAGCCGCGGTGAAGGCCTGACCTGCGTCGAAACTTTAAACGAACGTAACTTTGTGCTCGGTTATCCGATCATAGAGAATTTTTTTTTTATTCCGCATAACTTTTCGAAACACGTCCTGCTAAAAGTAAGAAAACCGTGCACACCCATTACCCACAATATTCGGATTCGGGTTTTACCCATACCCAATAAAAGTCCTCGGGTTTGGATTTTACCCTACCCGATTAGGCCGGATTCGAGCGGATATCCACGGTTACAGATATTTTTGTCATACCTATTGTAGAACACAAAAAATGTGTTATTTTTTGTGAAATTTTTTGAAATCCATTATAAAATGAATAAGATAAAGTCCGTTGAAATTTCGTAAGAGATTTGAAAAGCGTTATAAAGCCGCATGAGAAACAGTGCCCCAAATCCGATCAGCCCTCTCCCCAAGAACCAAGCTCATAAATTGGAGTTCATCCCAAGAACCAAGCTCATAAAGAGCCTGGAAGTTGCATGGAATTTGGATTAAGGTGTTCTTGAACGTTATGAATTTCTTCAATGCTACGACTCTCCTGTTTCTTGTGGAGGCAAGATTTGCTGGTGGTCTTGATCCTACCAAGTAATCCACTTTGCCATACTACCAAAACTCTAACATGCCTATTAATGAATCGAAGATAACTAGTTTGTTTTTGCAGTTTAACTTGGACTTTGCGAATTAACTCCTCTCTTTTGTTTAAGTAGGAATCCGCCCAGTACTTCTCATGTGTTTAATTAGTACTAGCTTTTTTTAAATTCACCAATTATGGACATTTTTTTTTTTTTTTTTTGGTTGGAATTCATGGAGTGTTTTAACTTATAGAAGAGTGTATTTTATATCTCCGCCGTTCTGACTGTGTTTCTTGGCTGAGCAGGTGCACACTAACTATCTCGAAGTTGGTGCAGATATTATTATCACAGCATCATATCAGGCAATGCAAAAGTCTTCCTCTTTTTGCGTACATGCACGTGGCTATGAAAGTATGAAACTGACCTCTTTGATTTTGCTGTTATCAAGCAGGCTACTACCATTCAGGGATTTGAGGCAAAGGGATACTCTACTGAAGAAGGTGAAACCATGTACGTTGAGGAGAAGTGTCGAGATCACTTGTGAGGCAAGAGAAGCCTACAACAAAAGATGCGAAGAAGCTCAACATGACATTGATAGTAGTGGCAATGTCTTGAAGCAGCGGCCTATAATAGTTGCTGCTTCTGTTGAAAGCTATGGAGCTTATTTGGCTGACGGATCAGAGTACAGGTGCATTAGTCCCCTGCATCTTTTTGTGGAGTTTGGCCTTCTAGTAGCAGAATTTCCATTTTACACAATTATTACTCCTCACATATTAGGTTCACAAAAAGGCAGGGTTCTCTATACTTGACACTGTATCTTGGAACCTATATTGTGATTGATCAAAGTGCTCCTTGTTAGCTAGCTGTGTGTTTTGACTGTTTTCTATCCTTGAATGACGGTCTACTTCTATCTGGATTATAGATGTCTATTCACTATGCATAAGTTATGGCTGGGTCTTCCCTAAATCCAGACTCTGGTTCAAATTTTCTCTCAGATATGTTAATATAATAATATCCCTATCAGAAGTTGACAGATGTTGCACTTTGTTGTTTGTTGAGTACAGTGGAATCTATGGTGAAGCTGTTAGCTTGGAGACCTTGAAGGAGTTCCATCGCAGAAGGCTTAAAATCTTGGCAGAATCCGGTGCTGATCTCATAGCATTCGAAACCATTCCAAATAAGGTGGCAGCTCAGGTAACTAACCACAACTCCTAGGACAGTTGCTGATTGGTTGCATGTTCCACAATTCCTTGTTTTTGTCTCAATGTTATATCGAAAGCAGTATAGATGCAAAGACAGGAAAACGACATACAAGGGCAATTTGAACACCTTGTAGTAGTATAACAGAATTGTTAAATCTGCTAATTTTCTTGCTTAAAGTCTTTTGCTCCACATGCATGCAGGCCTATGTTGAGCTTTTAGAGGAAGAAGACATTGAAGTTCCTGCATGGTTTGCTTTTTATTCCAAGGACGATATCAATGTTGTGGTGATTCTTTGATTGAATGTGCTACTATTGCTGATAGATGCAAGAGAGTTGTGGCTGTTGGGATAAACTGTACACCTCCTAGGTTTATTCATAGATTAATATCATCTATTAAAAGGTAATATTAATTTTGCTCATGCTTATGTGTGAAGCAAGATCTGAGTGAACTATTTCTCTTCTTGATTTCAACCATAAATTGACATAGTAGTTCAGACCTTTTATGCAAACGAAGGTATTATGCAACAATAATATCCTATCTGAAAATTTTAGTTTTTACTTGGCAAGATTCATCTCCTCTTTATTTGCAATTCGAATTTACAGTCTGATGCCCTGGCTTATGGTAGAATTGTTTCTTAGCGAATGTATTTCGTGCTTCCAGGTGACAACCAAACCAATCCTTATATCCGAACAGTGGGGAATGCTATGATGCAGACATTAATGAGTGATTCAGTGAATGTGTGTATATTTTACAATCTATCGTTCTTTTGATACAAACTTATCCAGAATGCATGCATTTGATTGATACTTTAGAATCTCAAATGGTTAGAATCATTCATTTTAGAACCTCTACAAAAAGGTGAGATTCTCTTGCTTTACTTTTGTAATTGCTTTTTTCACCTCTTATCCTTATTATTTTTTTTATTATATTTCATATTTGCCCCTTAATTGATTACATAAAGAGAACTTCAAGGTTATATAAGTTTTTTTGGTCATTAAAGTGAGAATCCTTATATTCTTTAAAAGCGAGAATCACAACTAACAAACAACATATTCTTACAATCATCTATTTCTTACAATCACTACACTTAGAATACATACATTGTAAGAATACACATATTCATAGACTCCCAACTTTCAAACGAACCTAAGGAGTGGGTGGTAAGTTCTTTTCAGTAGTAAAATGTCAGCAATTGTGGTTATTGCTTCTAATTAAAACCATTGAATGCTACTTAGAGGGACAAACCAAATCCTTCATGCTTTTCAGCTTCACTAGTAGAAGAGATATATATAATTGTGCAACAAGTTACATACCTAAGTCCTTAAGCTTATGCATGAAAGGATATTATCTCATCTCATTTCCCTTCCCCTTCATCAGTTTTGAGACCCTGTTAAGTTGTATGTATAGAGTATGCACAAGCTGCATCTAAAACGAAAGGCATTATTATTTGTCACATTCTTGAAGTCCAACCCTTGAATCATTCTTTAGACATTCACAATATTGTTGCTGACTCTATACATCACATGATTTTTGAATTTCGGAAATGTACTGATTTTGTCATTTTTTCTGGCTTTTACTGGGGCAGCATAATACCGAGGTTTCTGATGATGATTTCGTGTCATATGTAAACAAGTGGTGTGATAGTATCATGGTAAGGATTTTGCAGCACACTTACACTCACACAATAGTAGTATCATGGACTGGGTTTAGGAGTATGAGGAGGTTTGTTAGGTCAAATTTTCAGCCTCCACTACACAATATGACGAAAAAAGCAGTGACTTAAGCTACATCTTTTCCTTAACTTCTGTAGTTCATGGTCCCCTAACGAAGCGGATGGTTCTTCATATATTGAATCTTTCACGTGTGACATTATTGAAGGGATCAGTTTCTTCAGTTACAGACTTACAACAGGCACTTCTTCTACCACCTTGAGCCCAGGAAACTTGGGCAACATGCCTAATGTTGATATGACTTGAATCGGATTATCAGCCGCTACGACTGGTAATCGGGGGTCTCGCTGCCCGGTCAGCGAGTGGGGTCCAGGGGCAACGCCCCGGTGGGGGTGCGGGGGCAACGCCCCCGGCCCACGGTGTATGGGCTCAATGTTATTTGGGTTCGGGTTCTGGGCCTGGTCTGTAACCGTTTCCTTTGCTAGATTGGATTAGGTTTAGACCCACATGGAGAAGTACTATAAATACTTCTCATACTCCTCTGTAATCTGTAATCTCCTCGATATAGTGATACTGGCTCTCTCTCGCCCGTGGACTAGCTAACACACATCGTGTTAGTGAACCACGTAAATCGTGTGTCTGTGTTCTTTCGATTCTCGCTCTCGTATTCTTGCTTTGTCGATTCCGGCGATTTCCCGATCCGTAGCATCGCGTTTATAACACCTAACTATGTTCTATTGGACAGGATGTTGTCACAAGCAGATAAATGAAACTACATCGTTTTGATTCAACCCATATAAAGGAGTTCAATTGGAGTAGTTGTCGATTGTAGTAAATATGATCTGAAAGCATAAGCGGAAAACTCTTATCAAACTAAGCAAATGGTTGTGAACTGAAAATACAAAAATGATATTGGGTTGGTGTCTCCTATTGTTACATGGCATGTAATCCATACATGAAGGATCAGACAATAATTGATGATTTCATGTATTATAAATTATGTTTGATAAATGTGATTATGTTCCATAATTAAAAAAGTAACTTTAATGAAAATTGTCACTTATGTGCATAAAAATATAAAAACAATACATGCCAAAAAATGTAAGCGAAATATTTTATATGTTTTATTTTACAGATCGTTTGGTACCAAATGAATTGAGAATTCATTTTATTTTAAAATGAATTACTCTGTAGAATTCATTGTCAAATGAATTCCTATATTTGGTAGTCATATTCAATCTTTAGAAATAAATGAATTGAAATCCAAACCATGTTTGGTATATGTTTAGAATTGAATTAAATTAAAAGTTTTTCCAACTATATATACCCTTATTAATTTTCGGAAAAAACAATATTCATTGAAAATTCATCTTCTAGAAAACGTATTTGGTCTCATACGTAGAATATCAAAAGTGTTATTGTGTGTTTCTATTATATTAATTAGTTCTTGAACCCTACAATCTAGTTGTGCCTTCTCAAAGTACTGATACAATCGAAGCAAAAAAATATAAAATAACTAGCATATGCTACTAGCGTTGCAATCAAATTCTTGGTGACGTTTCTCATACTGCATCAATTGGCGCCAAATAATATATGTAGAAGTAATTTTGTTAATAAATTAGGATAATTATGTGATTATATTAAAATTAGTAAATACTTTGGAATTCATTTGCAAATTTCACTTCAATTCCTCGGAATTGCTATAACTAGTTCCAATTCCGTAGAATTCGAAATTTAGAATTGCAAATGAATTTTTCTAAATACCAAACACAATAAAAATTCATTTCAAAATGAATTTCTCAAAACTTATTAAATTCATTTATACCAAACGGTATGTTAAAAATTTCATTTCAAAATGAATTTCTCAAAACTTATGAAATTCATTTATACCAGAATTCATTTATACCAAACGGTATGTTAGTATAGTTTACAGATAGACATATATTATACGTTCCTTCTTTTTTATGGTTACTTACACAGACTGTGATGAGGCGATGAGAGATTTTCATTTTCCCAACTAGCTAGAGCTTAATAAAAATTTGTTGATTTGACCATAAAAAAATGTAAGCATTACAACAATCTCACTGAAACAATCCAAAATTCCAAATGACCAGTAGAGTTAGAACCCTAGAGTAAGAAAGATCTACTTGACTAAGAAATCCGGGTTTTCAGCCATTGGAAACACCATTTGATGCCAACAGATCTGATTATATGGGTATTTCAACACAAAATCTTACATCGCATCACTTAGAATAACAGAGCACTCTTATTATTTCCATCAGAGATTCAGAGCAATTGCTGATCATCTTATGTATCAAAGCCAGAGTAGACGCCACTTTCTCTCAACAACCTCTTCTCTTCCTCGACATAATTCTTTCCCCTGCTAGCCTGCCCAAGTTCTCGTTTCCTCTTCTCCTTCTGTGAGAATGAAAGCTGATTCTTCTCCTCCTTCTCTTTCCGGGTCTGTGAATGCACCAGCTGCTCCCCAGCCACTAGAGCTGCCCTTGTTTTCTGCCGCTCATCATAAGACTCTCCATTCTCGACCTTGGTGGCAGCATGGCGTTCTTTACCTGTAGACCAGGTCCAGTTGGGCTCTGTGTCGTCTTTAGGGGGTGGCATTCTCAGAAGTGAGGGGCCACCTTTGTATCCATGCCGCCTCAGTTCTTCAAAGTCCACAGCTCCACGCCTCCGCCTTGCAGACTTGCCTAGAAACAACATCATCAAACGAAGATGAGCCATGACAATAAGCCAACTTTCCAAGGTTATCATACCTAAAGTTGTTTCAGCCTAAACAAACACCAGCTAGATGATAGCACGAGAAATAGCGATCAAGGAAGGGACTAGTCCAAATAATCCAACATCCAAACAGCAAATTTACAATAAGAAGTATCATTATCCATCAATTCTCAATATCAATATCCAAACCGACCTGTTAAACTGCAATCTGGTTTGCAATTAAAAGCAAATTTCCTCATCTATTCTCACGGGGAAGACAATCAACAGAAGAGTTGCAGCAAACCACGAAACCCGTACAATTGTGTATTAGCTCTTCCAGCAGAGCTGTCACTTCCACTGATCTGGGTTTCAAATTGACAACTTGAAGGCTAAGTCAAAACTACGAAGCTTCTTCCCATACCGAATCTAGGATCGTTCTGCTTCGGCGAATTTGAAGTATCAGTTGTACCAAAAGGTTAAAAAAAGGTCAAGTTTCAGAAAGTGAGTACCTTTCGAGTTCTTGTGCTTGGAGGCATTCTTGGTTTTCGTCTTGGTGGTGCCTACATCACCTTCAGCATCCGATGCCGAAGACGACGTAGACGATCCATCATCTGAATCCGAAGAATCCTTGTCGCCGTCGTCGTCGCTCCACGGAATTGCCCTTTTCATGATTCCCCGGTAACACACTGTTCACAAAACAAACAAATCACGCCAATCAATCGAAAACGCCATCATCAACAAAATTGTTAAATTCTACAGGGAGAAGACGAAGTACCTCTAGTGCCAAGATAACGGCAGAGAGCTGGCCTCAGTGAGCTCCGCCGATTGGACGAAGGGGATTTTTGTTAGGGTTCGGAACCCGGCAAGGAAAATTTCGGGGGGATCTGTCTTGTGTGGACTGGGGAAGCTACCATGAAATTACAGTAAAACCCCTGCGATTTGAACTGGTGGAGTGGATAGGCGGCGTCGTTTTAATAGCGCATTCCCTGACCGAGAAAAATTGGAAATTGGGGATTTTTTTCGATTTGAGCGGAAAGGGTTTAAGCGCGCCACTCCGCTTTGGTGGTGACTTCTCTGACTCGCCGGATTCCGCCGTTTCGCCGTCACAAAGGTGCCGTACCTTGCTACTGCTCTGCTTTCGCTCTTGTTGGTTTAAGGTTTTAATATCAGCTTCTAAAGTTTCGTCCTGATGACATGACTGGATATGGCAAGAGTGAGAATCGAAGCTTTGATCTTTTATGCTAAGAGATTTCCGTTTGTTCTCTTTGCAGTTTCACAGTTGCTACTGCTTCCTTACTATCGAATTCAATGATAAAACCGTTGCCCAGAGTGTTTCCTGAGGTGGGTACTTTTTTTTAGTTGCCAGAACGTTCAAATTAATGGACGTTGAAGAAGGTGTAGGAGATGGCTCCCTTGTTCTGCTCAAGCAAGGAGCTGAGGCTGTAAGTTCATTTACTTGCATTCTATTTGTACCGCCTGGTTTCATATCAACAGGATTTCCTCTGCCCCTGATCTTCCTAAGAACTTGGATTAGAAACCTCTCACATGTTGCCTTCTCCTTAAGTGGAAGTAAATCTTTGTCGTAAGTAAAGTCTGCAAATTTTGATGTATTGAGTTTGGTGCCATATTATGCAGAAGGTCTTTGAGTTGAATTTTGTGGGGAGGAGGTCGGTTGTTAAGGAACGGTTCTCGAAGAAGTACAGGCACCCAATGCTAGATGCTAAGCTAACTCTCAAGCGATTGAATGCTGTGAGTTAGAATACATCCTTCTTGTATATATTTGAGATTGATAATAAGAAAAAAGGGGTCTTTTTGCCGGCCTTCCACAAGTGACAATTGATGAACTGGAAAATTTTCTGGAGCAGGAAGCTAGATGCATGACGAAAGCAAGACGACTCGGAGTTTGCACTCCTGCTCTCTATGCTGTGGATCCTGTATTGCACAGCTTAACATTCGAGTATGTGGACGGTCCTGCTGTGAAAGATGTCCTCCTTGAATTTGGATCTAATGGTATAGTGGAAGAACGATTGGACGACATTGCTGTGCAGATTGGTGATGCAATTGCAAAACTACATGATGGCGGGCTTATCCACGGAGATTTGACTACCTCAAACATGCTAATCAGGAATGTTGTCAACCAATTGGTGAGTTATGGGACTGCCTCCCCCTATTTTTTGTGCTTTCACCTCGCTGGTTAGCTTAGGTTCCTACGAGAAAAAATTACAACACAAAGATTGGGAAAATTGCAGGTTCTCATTGATTGTGGCCTAAGCTTTACATCAACTCTTCCAGAGGACAAAGCTGTTGATTTGTATGTGTTAGAGCGAGCGTTGCTGTCAATGCATTCTTCATGCGGGAATGTGGTAAGCCATAACCTTTGAATATTAAAGTTGAAAGTATAAATATCGTTATAGTCCAGAAACCAGTAACAATGACGGGAGGTGAAAATTAAGTAAAAAGTTACTGTGCTATTAATCACCCCCATTCTGGGATTAGAATGTCTCCATCACCCCACTTTGGAATTATCATGGCAATCAGTAAGCATAAGAGTTTGGATACTGACATAAATGAAACCCCCTCTGAAAGGAGCTTTTGCCAAGCTGACCATTAATGTACACCAGATGGATCGCATACTTGCTGCATATAGGAAGTCTTCAAAGCAGTGGTCAGCAACCTTCAACAAGCTAGCTCAAGGTGCGATCCTGCTCTATTGCATTCTTGGTTTTGCACTTTTTCGTCTCTTACCAGTTATTTTTGTTTTCCCTTTCTGATTGTCTTTGCCTGCCCGTTTCAGTTCGGCAACGGGGTCGTAAACGCACCATGGTTGGATAAAGTCGGAGAAGTCTTCATTGTCTTAATTCATTCTGTACAACCGGAGAAGCAGAGTTCTCTGTGCAACTTTATTATAGGTACAGTGATGGATTTTAGACTTGATTATTTTCTCTATCACTGTCCACAGTTGTATTATCATACTTACCAATGTACTGCAAGTGCATATTCGAATCAGATTGCGTTTGTACCCGTCTTGATTTGTTACTGGTGTCCTGCGCCACGGGCAGGTGCATTTGGTGCACCTAATTTGCCACAGGCTTGTCAATATAGAAGATTATGGTATGACAATTCACCTATTTTACCATAAAAGTCGACTATTTTAGAAGGAAGTTCATTTTATTTCTCAAAGTGGTGCATAAAAGAAGTGTATGAAATGAAACAGACAGGCAACAGGTGGTGATTTTCAGTATGGTCAGCGGTCCATTTTTCACAGCAGAAAGCAGGCACAGGGTAGTGGGCACATGAGAATATCTACACAAAACAGCGAGGAAAGCTTATTATAAGCTTTTTTTTCTTTTTTCTTTTCTTCTCTGCCTCCTTTCCACCATGGCTATGGAGTTATTATTCTTCTCATAATTTACACATTTCCCACTCAGCATCTCGCCCTAACAAACCTCCTCTGCTCGTCACCTCTTTGCGACCGGTTCCTTCCGAGTCTCCCACTACACAGCGCTGTGGCCTCTCCTGCGCTGCTCATGCATCTCCGGCCCAGGGAAGAAGAACTCCTCATTCTGATTCCTGAAAATCTGCTCCACTTCCTTAGCCGGGACCCCGAACCCAAGCTCCAGCGCCTGGCTCTCCATCTTGCTCATCACGTTGTTCTTCCCGGCCAGCTGGAACTTGAAGTTGTCCCGTGCGTTCACCTCGAAGCACACCACCTGCAGGTTGTTGTTTGTCGATGCCACCGTCGCCACAGGGTGCCCCGCTGGGACTACGAACACCGTGCCTCGTTTCAGCCGCGACTTCACTTGCCCGTAAGTCGTCCCTTGGCGCGAGCCCCTGCTGCTGCCAGTACTCTGGCCCCTCCTTCCCTCCTTCCTAGCGCTGGAGATGTGAGGGCAAGCCATCTCGAAGTAGCCTTCACCGTCCACAACGTAAGCTATCTTCGTCGCCTTCGAGTTGTAGAATGGTCCGGACATTCCTCCCTACACGGAAAATCAGAGCTGTTAATTAGTAATTCAGATTAAAATCCAAAGTATAAATCTCAATAGGATGTTTAGATGAAAGAGGTGTAGTAGTACTCGTGTGATGTTGGCAAAGGAGATCATGAGGTCGAGATCATCAAGCTGCTCGAATTCGTTGGGGTCTGCTTCAAACAGCTGCCCGTAGTTGTTCTTGTGAGTAGGGCGCCTATGGAGGAGATTGAAGGGACCGCTCGATTCGCCACCGAATGGCCAAATGCCTCCACCTTCCTCCCCATGGGTCAAGGCCCTGATTTGCTCCCTGGAAGCTTTAATGATCGTCCCCTCCTTTTGTTGGAAGATCCTCTGCAGACTCTCCCTATCAACCTGGCAACAGGGTAAATTAAAACCCACCCACCAAATCAGATAAAAAACAGCAAGACCACCTCAAAACAAATTTTTTCCTTATCATTTCCATGGTAGAAACGAACCTTAAAAGCAGCTTCTAGCAGCTCAGGACTAAATGCTCTGAAGAAGGATTCTGGGTTGTCGCCACCTGGGCCGTGGAACGCCTCGAATGCTCCAGGAGTGTTAACAGGTCGAATGAATTTGATGATCACTAGCTTCTGGCTCTCGTGCTTGTTGACAACGTATACAGGAGTTCCAGCATGAACCCTAATCACATCTCCGGTCTCAATGTTGAAGCTGTGCCTCTTGATCTCGCTCCTCGAAGAAGTTGTTGTTCGCCCTCTGTTCTCCCGTATCATTGTAAACGTCCCTCTCCCTGCAATTTAGAAGCGTTTACTTTCTGAAGAAGGGAAACGAAGAATTTTGTTCTAATGAATGATAAAAAAAAAAAGCAAGTACCTTGGACTACAAAGAGAACACCGTCGGCATCGAAGTGGGCAGGGGAAATGAAAGTCTGCGGGTCAGCTTCAAGAAACCCGATCCTGAAATTCTCAATTCCTTTCAGAAGCTCTGATCTCTCAGTGAACCTCTGGAGGACACCGACTCTTCCATGCTGGCTCTCAGCTTTCTTCAGGAAATGCTCGTCCCTGAAAACATAAGGATTCTCTTCCCTTTCCCCACCTTCTCCAAACACCTCTTGCTCTTCTCCTTCTTCTTCTACATCATAGTAATACTTCTTTCCCCTGCCGCCGCCTTCTCTGAACTCCTTCTCGCACTGGCTGCGGCAAACCTCCCGCTCTTGCTCCCCGTAACGCTTATGCTGCTCGCACTGGTGCTTGCACTCCCTGACCCTCCTCTCAGGATCAGTCTCTGCAGATTCGCCGCGGCCGCCCCATTCCTTCTTCTCCCTAGCGTAATCCTCGCACCGCTGGATGCAGACGTGCTGCTGCTTCTCGTCGAACTGCTTCTGGTCCCTGCACAGGTCCCGGCATTGCTTCAGCTCCACGTCTTCGGTCACTGAAGCCAGCCCGGAGACCAGAACTAGAGCAGAGAGAAGCACAAGGACAATTACACTGATAGCTCTCATTTTTGTTTCCCTTCTTGTTTTCCTTCACTCTTAAGTGTTGTGTTGGGAAGGAACTGTAAGCGACAAGGGTTTATATAGGTGTGGTTACTGGTTAGAACTTAGAACCGGATAAGAGCGGGAACAGAGAGCACCGAGTGAGCCATAAAGAAAGAAAGAAGAAGAAAAAAACAGGGGAGGCAGAGTGTTCGATTTTGCATGCATTTCGACGGGTGTCTCTTGGTACGTTGTAACGTGTCCAATATCATATGGAGAAGATCGCCGCAGATTAGAGGGAGTACGGAAGAATGCAATGCATCCACGAGGTGTTACCCGATTTGTCTTGTAGTGCGGATCGTTCCCTATGGGGAGTTTTTATGTAGAAGTAGAAGGAGCAGATGGGCTTCACGTGGAACAGAGAAACAGGGGAGAGAAGGGACAAAAAAGGCGCATTTGGACAAGTTTACTCTAAGCAGCAAATACGTTCT